CCCTCCCGGTGCGCCATAGCAAAAGTCGCACCCTCCATAGCGAAACGACGGGCGAAAGTCTTCATTCAGCCCCGGGGCAACTAACTCCTAACTTCCACGGCTGAGGCGGCGGCCTTAGCCAAATCGATCGCAGGGTTTTTAATCCATCCAGAGGATAGTGGGAAGCCCCCGCGTTCAAAGGCATTCATTCTCCCTCTAATTGACAGGAGTTGGGAAGCAACAACGGAAGACTTGGGAATGTTTGTTGTGTGTGTGTGTGTTGGGAGGGAAGAATGGGGGGGAGGGATGCGTCCCTGTCCCTGTCCTGCTGCCGGGTCCTGTTGCTCCAGGTGGGCGGAAGTTGAAGGGGAACGTAAAGGGATATGGGTTCCTGGATGCCAGGAAGAACAGGTGGATGGCGGAAGGCTGGAGTTAAGATTCGCTTGGGCTTTGTTGTTGTTGTTAGTTGCAAAGGATGATAAAGGACAGGAAGGCCTGGAGGAACGTTGTCCATGGGGTCGCGATGGGTCGGACACCACTTTGCAACTAACAACAACAACAAAGCCCAAGCGAATCTTAACTCCAGCCTTCCGCCATCCACCTGTTCTTCCTGGCATCCAGGAACCCATATCCCTTTACGTTCCCCTTCAACTTCCGCCCACCTGGAGCAACAGGACCCGGCAGCAGGACAGGGACAGGGACGCATCCCTCCCACCAATTCTTCCCTCCCAACACACACACACACAACAAACATTCCCAAGTCTTCCGTTGTTGCTTCCCAACTCCTGTCTATTAGAGGGAGAACGAATGCCTTTGAACGTGGAGGCTCCCCACAATCCCCTTGATGGATTGAAAACCCTGCGATCGATTTGGCTAAGGCCGCCGCCTCAGCCGTGGAAGTTAGGAGTTAGTTGCCCCGGGGCTGAATGAAGACTTTCGCCCGCATCTCCCACCCGTCGTTTCGCTATGGAGGGTGCGACTTTTGCTATGGCGCACCGGGAGGGGAAAGGGGTGTGTGTGTTTTCCCCATCTCTTCGCTGCTTTCCCCCCTCTCATGTGGAGATTACGCGGATTCCTTTCCTTGTCCCAAGAAAAGAGATTCCCACTTTAAAACCCACCGCCTCCTGTCTCCTAAACTAGAAGTTTGGAGTTATTCGAGGGGAGCAATCAGGTATTCTTCGTTTTCAAAAAGTATCTTCTGGCAGGGCGCCCTTTCCAGGATAACGCTGGAAGCGTATAGGTCCTAGGGTGGCTGGGACGCATGGGGTTTGGAATCCAAACGACCTGGATCCTGGATTGTTCGTTTTTCCTTGGTCCAGAAAGCCCTCCTGCCGGATAAGTGGTCTTCCTATTCTTGGTTGTTGGTTCTAATGGATAATTCGGCTCAAGGAGGAAGAGAAAGGCAGGAGTCCCGAGCGGCTCCTGCGCAGCCCTTCACTTCGTCAAGTTGCCTGCTCCCCCAGGAGCGGCTTCTCACCTGAGAAGAGCGCCTTCCTAGCCCGGTGATCTTGGTCCGAAAGTTCCCAGATCTCCATATGGGATCCCAAAAGGACCCCACCGGAACCAAGAGCCTTTCCTTAGATCCCTGGGGAAATTAAGCCGGTTGGAAAGCGGAGAAAGGGAATTCGGGAGAGCGTTTGAGGGAGGCTCGACCCTTCCGAGAGAGTCCCGAAGGAGCCGAAGCAGCGCAGATTGCCCACCCAGCATCCCTCCCTCCCCCAGGGCCCGGGGCAGCAGGACCTACCCAGGCCGAGGCAGTGGAAACGCCGGGGGTCGCTCATGCCGTAGGCGGCCGCTGCGCAAACAGGTGGGTGGGCTAAGGCTTGAGCCGCCGCCGCCGCCGCGGATGCCACCGAGCCGAGGGGCGGCTGCTGCTGCTGCGGGGCCGTCTGCTGCTGGACGTGGCTCATCCGGGGGCAGAACTGGCCCTCGCCGCCCTGCCCGGCTCCTCCGGGACCGAAGTGGCCCTTGAGCAGCGGGAGGGAAGCGGCGGCGGCGCCTCCGCCCGCCGCGCCCGCCCGCGCCGTGGCGTGCAGGTGCGAGGTGACACAGAGCGGGCAGACGCAGAAGGAGCCGCCGCTCTTGCGCGACGGGCAGGCGGGCCCGCCGGCCACGGACATCACCAGCGGCGCCGGCACGCCCAGCGGAATGAGGAAGTCCTGGCCGGGGGGCGGCGGGGGCGGCTCCGGCAGGGCAGGCACCACCGGCCTCGCCGCCACCGCCGCGTCCTTGACGATGAGCGAATCCACATAGAAGGAGCGCGACATCGCGGACAGGGGGCTCGGGGCTCCTCTCTGGGGCCGCTCGCCTCCTCCAAGTCCCTGGGGCGAGCTCGGAAGGTGCTTATGGCTGGGAAGCGAACAAAGCGGGGCTCACGAGAGGGCTGGTCTTAAAAGCGACCCCCCCTTTTTTCCCTTCTTCTCTTCTTCTCGCTAGACCTCCCCTGGATCTCCTTCTCCCCCCTCCCCCCCCGCCCCACCGCCTACTCCCGGTGCAGCGATTTATAGTAACTATTTCACGCACGTGATGCCTGGCAATCGGCGCGCCTCCAAAAAGCCGCTTGTTGGGAGCCTTTTCAGTGCATCCCCCCCCCGTCCCTCCCCGAAACAAAGCGGGTGGGGGGTGGGTGGGAAGCTTAGCGAGAGGCGGCTGTGTGTTTTGTTAATTCATTGGGGGTTCGCGAGGGGCGGCCCCTCCGCGCTCCTTTGCCCCCTTTGCAAGAGCGCCCGGGAGGCGGCAAAGTTACAACTTCGCCGCTGCTCGTGGGAACGCCGCCAGTCCCGGTTAGATTCAAGGCCAATGGGCTTTCCCCCCATCCCAACGCTTCTCCCTGCCCTCTTTCCTTTGCTTGTCTAACCAATAGACTTGCGATGCCCAGGCGTCGCTCACCTTAGCTACTGAATTTGCCCGACGTCTGCCTTTCCACCACGCCCCGCCCCGCACAGAAAGGAACTGAGTACACAGTACACTAAATCACCCCCTCTTCCCCCCCCATCCCAAAATAAATCCTGAGTGACAAACTAACCAAACTTCTCCCGGTGGTCCAAATACAGCCCACCCCTCTCTTTTAACCGCCCCGTGATGTGCGGCGGCGGGGATAGGAACCGCGCCACGGAAGCGTCTTTTCACCGCTGTGTATACTACACAGGTGCGGCTATAACGAAGGAGAAATTCCGGGCTACGGTCTGATTCTAGGTGATCCGGCGGAAAATCGCTTGGCTTTCCAACCCAATCCTATGGCTGACCTCTTAAGGGGGTGCCGTATTGGGGGGCGGAGGAGTCAGGCTGAGTGTTTAGGACAGCCTTTTCTGACGAGGGGGTCGGGTCGAAGGTGAAATGTCCTTCAGTTTATTTGGGTACCAGATTGAGGGGAAGCAGTTCGGAGAAGTCCATCCCCCTGCTCGGATTCTTCTGTCCTGCCCGCCGCGATGTAATTATTGGGGTGCCCCATCGCTCTGGACAAAAGGCCTCTCTCAATCAGCGGCTTGATTGATGACACCCTAGATATAGATTCCATATCCACGTCCAATGGGAACAAAGGTCCTTTTTGATTTCAATGGGAGTTAAAGGTAAAGGTAAAGGTTCCTCCTCTAGGGTCCTATGTGCGGTGGCGGTGCTCATCTCCGTTTCAAAGCCGAAGAGCCAGGACATCTCCGTGGCCATGTGGCCAGCTAAAGGCCGAAGGGGCACGGAACGCTGTTACTTTCCCACCAAAGGTGGTTCCTATTTTTCTACTTGCATTTTTACGTGCTTTCGAACTGCTAGGTTGGCAGAAGCTGGGACAAGTCACGGGAAGCTCACACCGTTACATGGCGCTAGGGATGCGAACCGCTGAACTGCCGATCTTTCTGATCTACAAGCTCAGCTTCTTACACCGCGTCCCCTTCAATGGGAGTTACATCCGAGTGAATAGGATAGGCTTCGTGGTTTCGAGTCTGGACGTTTCCACGGGTGGAGCAGAATAGGAATGCAAAAGTAGCGGTGATCTTTGAGATCCTCTGCCGCTCTAATTCTGAAGATAAAAAGGGACATGTTTTTTTTTTCCCCTTCAGGTAATCCCCAAACTCCTTTGCTCGTCTGGACACGCGTTCACACCCAGAGACACGCGTTCATCAGCGACGTAGGCGCCAAAGATCGCCTTTCTCCCTTTTCTAATTACTCACAGATTTTTCTTTCGTGTCGCAGTTCGCTCTCATGTATTCAGCGAAGACTGGAATCCTTTTCTGCCTTTCTCTTATACTTGGTATATAAATGGTACATCAAGAGAGGATTTCCCCTGCTCCGTCTTTCCCCATCCAGTGAAATTGTCAGGTAACCTTTTAGAGTTTGGATAACAATGTCTTTCCATACATAAACCAGAGTTCAAAGATAGAAAGGAGTCTATTGGGAAGCAGGAAGCACTGATATCTCTCCCTCCCTCCCTCCCTCCCTCCCTCTCTCTCTTACTTTGGAGCGAATCCTGATCACACCGAGCTTTGCCTCTGAGAAAATGTGGGGTCCGATCAACTCTACTAGATTCCATTGGTTGAAATGATCAAAAGGCTCGCTCTTTTTCACTCAAGGCCAAAAGGAAATAAGAGGAGGCCTTCACCATCGAAGTATAACCCCAAGGGTTGAAGTGAACACTTGTCTATGGGATTTCTCACCTCCCGTTTACTGGGAATGTCTGTGTGGGAGATTCTCAGCCATCCAGGTCGAGGTTGTCCCAAACGTGCTTTTTTTTTCAAGAGGCGCCTGGACTTTCTCTGTTTTTTTCCCCCCTCTGGAGACGTTTCGCTTCTCATCCTCATTCAGCTCTGAGCTTCTTGGATGAGAAGGTCTTCCAAGAAAAACCAGAGAAAGTCCAGGCGCCTCTTGGGGGGCGGGGGGGGGGAAAGCACCTTTGGGACGTTTAGTGGACAACGGACTTCAACGGGTAGAAGTGGAGTTGAGGGAAATCGATTTCCACGGAGTGCTTGGATGCAATCCGACCGTTTGCGTGTCAGACGTGGGCAAGAGGCTGACACTCTCACGTTTACAGAATAACAGAGCTGGAAGCCTTCCGCTCTAGATTTGCACGCGGTCTCCCATCCTAAGTTCAGCCTTGCTTAGCTTCAAAGTCCAGACTCGACTGGGGCGGGAGTGCGAGCTGTTGAAGTGAGGGAGGGCGGAGGGAAAGTAAGGTTGGCTTCCAACCTCATTGAAAGGCTCCAAATGATGAACAAGCGAGCAAAGCTGATGGAAGAGGCTTAAAATACGCGTCTCTTTTAGCGTGATTTTGCTTGCACGGGTTCCAAGGGGGCCGCGTTTTGCCACTTGGCGTTGCGAAGCGATCCTTCGAGGAAAAGCTGGGTCCGGTTTGCAGTCCTAAGAGGAACCACCTTTCCTCTAAGACAGAGGTCTTCAAACTCGGCAACGAGTTTGTGGACTTCAACTCCCAGAATTCTCCAGCCAGCATGCTGTGCTGGGGAATTCTGGGAATCCAGGTCCATAAAGTCTTCAAATTTCCAAGGTTGAGAAATGCTGAGGGTCGCTGAGATAATTTAGTCCTAATCTAATAAAGGGCTGTATGTGCCTTTCCAATTATATTCATTATAATGATAGATCCTACCAGTGTTTCTCAACCTTGGCAACTTGAAGATGTCTGGACTTCAACTCCCAGAATTCCCCAGCTGCATTTGCTGGCTGGGGAATTCTGGGAGTTGAAGTCCAGACATCTTCAAGTAGCCAAGGTTGAGAAACACTGTCCTAACCAATGTTTTTCTTCTTCATACCTTTCTATAATAGAAACCTATATGTATAAATAATATGCATATATCTATATGTATATCATTTATATTGTATAGAACAGAATAGAATAACAGAGTCAGGAGGGGTCTTGGAGGTCTTCTAGTCCAACCCCCTGCTTAGGCAGGAAACCCTACACAGCTTCAGACAAATGGTTATCCAACATCTTCTTAAAAACTTCCAGTGTTGGAGCATTCACAACTTCTGGAGGCAAGTTGTCCCACTGGTTAGAGCTAGCTGGAGAAGACGAAAGCCCGCACGAGTAGAAAAGGACTACGCCTAAAAAAAACACCCCTTTCAAACTCCAGAGATCCCCTGGAGATTCCCCGTGCGCGATCCACAAGCAGGTTGGCCAACGGGCGGAGAAGCGCATTGAGTTCAGGGAAGCGACTGGGTTTTCTTGGCTTTCTTTGAAGACGTTTCGCTTCTCATCCAAGCTGCTTCATCAGCTCTGACTGAATGGTGGAGAATTGTTGTAATATAGTTCCTTGTGTAGGTGTGTGTTCCCCATGGCCCAATTCATACCAGGGCATGCAGAGTCACGCTGAACCACACAGGAGAAAACAAACTCCTAGAATGCCATAACATCCTGATAGTGCATAACATAACATTCTGAGATGTGCCCTACCAATGACGTCCAGGATTTGACCATATATAGACTGAGCAGTAGATTAGAAATTGTACTTTTACAGGCTGTTTTTACTCACATGCTATTGCTCCTCCTGCCTTTGTCCTATCTCAATAAAAGGGGCTCTCAGACCCCCAATCTGGGTTGCTCCATCCCGAGAAAGGTTGTGTCCTGTCTTTTCTCAACATTGGCCTCATGGGCGAACCACGACATTACAGAGAATGGAAGGATTTAATACTCCTGGTCATTTGCATCCTTTTAGAGAGTCTCGGGGACTACTTGGAGGTTTATCTGTGTGTCTGGGGGGTGTGTGTGTCACCTGAATCATTGAGAAGTTGGGAGCTGTGCTTTCCGCAGGATGTTGTCTGTCCTGAGGGTCCTTTCAAGACAGCGAAGGGAGGGGGTTTACCAGTCCCAACCGAAGGCAGAAGGCGGGAATGAGATCCTCTCCATGGCAGGAACGATCCTCTCCCCTTTCCCCATCCCAGGAGAGGAAGAAGCTTATTGCCAATGTAGTCTAAGCCTAACCAACCGTTTCAAAATGAGTCCCTCCCTTGCCTTTTGCTTACTTTGAAATTACTCCCAGCCTGGGATTGGTCCTGGGCTCGGCCTGAGTCCCCTAGAAAGGTGGCTTAAGCTTTCCTTCCCTTTGGGGTGCAGGCGCATGGGTCTCCTTGCAGGGCCTGGGAAGAAAGGAGCAAAGGGAGAAAGGCGGGGCTTCTGCCCTTCGTTCTGCGCCCAGACTTCAACTCTTCCTCCTCTGCTGAGTCCCCAAGGATGCCTTTCAAGGAGGCTGGCTTGTGCGGCTCCTGAAGCCTCCGGGCCATGGGCCATTTGCGCCAGGGAATGGATTCAGTGGCAAGAAGGTGCCAA